TTTCCTTAGTTGAAATTTTGTTCAGAAGAGGTTCAGAAACTTGCAGAAGATAGATGTCAAAACTCAGAAACACTGGAAAATTTGCAAAAGAGATTGTTAGATATGAGAAGGTTATCTGATCAAGCCAAGGAATCACTAGAAGGATCACAATCTAAGGTCAAGAAAAGTCGATTGGCTTATATGGAGCTGCAGATAGAATTAGAGGAAGAGAGGTATATGAATATTTGGACCGGCCTTTCGTTCTCTTTCCAACAAACCTACCCTCTTTGTTTTTCTGTAAATTTTTGTGAACTGTAGTTTATTAAATGTATTTTCTATGTATTAGGTTCAACAAGAAAAGAATTGAAGAGGAATTGGAAATTTTAAGGAGAAAGATTTTACGGCTTCGGGCACAAACAGAAGGGCCCTCAGTTTTAGAAAAGCTTCGACAAGAACTTAAAGAGTACAAGGAAATACTCAAGTGTAATATCTGCGTTGAAAGGCCCAAAGAGGTATTTGTAATTGTAAATTTGATAATTTCACTTCTGGCATTCATTTCTCAATAGGCGGGCACTGAACCGAAGCCTGAAGATAGATATGTAAAAACCACTCTGAAAACTTATGCACTCCTCACAAGAACCTGATTTCACATTCGTTTATGGTTCCAAAAGCAAGTTTCTCCTCCTTGAATCCCCTTTACAAAGAAGAGCACAATTGAGTGGATGGGATCCTTTTTTTTTCTTTCTAATGCCGCCATTCCATAGTACCTCCACTATGCAGATCTAGTTGATAGTCACAACAGAGGTATCACATACAGTCTACAATATTCCAACTAGAGTTTTTGCTCTTCCTTATTGAGTCTTGCATTATAAATTATAATGACTGGCTGCCCTTTTGTCATGATAATTTAGTTTGATTGAAACTTATTTGTATATTTTGCTTGTCCATCACGGTTGTTAAATGCAGTTCTTTTTCACTTGTCTTTTTGCTTTCTGGTATACTGCATATTGATATATATTTTTTTCTGCTATTCAGGTTGTAATCACGAAATGCTACCACTTGTTTTGCAATCAATGCGTGCAAAAGATTGCAGAAAGTCGTAACCGCAAATGTCCAGCTTGTGCTGCGAGTTTTGGTCCTAATGATGTTAAGCCTGTGTACATCTGATGAGAGACCAGGGAAGCTTCTTTTTGTTGGTCATTTATTCATGAGACGGAGCTCTGCTATCTTCATCTGCATGTGACCGTCTGGAAGTGAACCAATTCTTGAACATGAAGCCTACAGGTTCATGTGTATTGTGTATTAGAGAATTGTTGAAGTAGGGGTTTGGAGTTTATTTAAATTTCTATAGGGGTTTGGGTGGAGGGAGGTGTAGCATCAATAGGAATTTCTTGATTTCCAGACTGCTGATCAACCATTGCAAATAATCATATAGATTTGATGGTTTGACGCTAGGTTGTCCTATTATCCAATTGTTTTGAGTCTAGTGTATTTATGCTATTTGTTTGTTGTTATATATATTTTCGGTCTGGGAAAACTGGAAATTTTTCATTTATTATTTGCAGATTTACAATGCTTTTACCAACGGGCATGGAGGTTGGTGATGGTATAATTAATAAATACCTACAAGGGTTAGCTTCAAAAGTGTATCCAGATTCCTGATCTGATGCTTAGAGTTTGCACTGATACTTTATCCAAGGTTTTCCTTCCCATCGAATGTCTGGAGCTTTATAGAAGTTGCTGGAACGGCATTTGGTACATTTGTTTCTGGAGAAATATCAAGGCATAGGTGAATATGACTGTTGCTAATCTTACATGCCTGTGATTGTAGAGTCCATCCAGATGCGTTGCTGGAGACATGTACATGCAATTGGAATAGGGTCGTGAAAGTTCTTTTTTAATTCATTTTCTTATGATGATATTATGCAATTGTAATTTTGGTAGCATTCTTTTCTCAAAAGGCTCGTAGTGATTTGTCTTTTACTTGGCTCTGCAATGTGTCCCCAGAAGGTAGTTTTGTTAAAAGCTGAAAATTGTTTTGGCAGTGTTAGGAGACGGAAATAGTTGTATGAAAGATGGAAACTAGGAATGGGAGAATGTGCAGCCAAAGTCGATTCCAGACTATTTGGAGGCAGATTTTGTTTTTCTTGAAAAAGTTTTCAACAATTTATTTCTGCTGCATATCTCGTATTGCATAACCCAGCACTAATTTAGTACTTTCCCTCCAAAAATAATCATTGAGTTTGGTGGCTGTGAATTTTGTGAATGGGATAGCTATTATTTTATAACAATTGCTGCAGGGAGGAGTTATGCCGATGTGGTTTTAAGTTTTTACTTGTCAGCGCAGGTTTTTGAATGGTGTTCTTGCACGCATGTTTGTGTGGATGCAAGCAGGTATAAACTCTAATGGTTCTTGAGTTGAATAACATTATAGGCACAAATACGTGTATATATATATATATATATATATATATATATATAAATGAGCGGGTGTATAAAATTTAGATCTCTGTCGCGGGTCCGTCCAATTTGGTTGCGTAGTTTTTGGTAAGAGCGTGATGAGTGATCTCAGTCCCAGACTCCCTTACATTTTTTCAGTAAATAAGCTGTCTTGTTAACGTAGCATATTATACTTACCCGAAATTTATCATATGTTTTAAAAGGAAACGTGTAAAGCTTCGTCGTACGTGGATGTTGATATTCATATTGAAGAGAATTCCAAAATTTAGGAATTACTTGCTTTTCAAGTGTTTCAGATTGATTGAAATCAACCTCAAGCAAATTAAATGGATTAAGTAAAGAAATGAAATTGAGATAGTAACATATTATTATGTTTGTATTTTACGAGAATAGCCTTGTTTTTTCAAATTTTGATGTGTTAGCAAATTCCTAGAACCATGAGGACAGAAGGATTCTAACTTCTGAAATAGTGGGACCAAAATCCGTCATCTTTACTTCAGGACCATTATATTTTACTGAGAGTTTCGGTTGTCGGCTCTTCTATCGTCAGGTCATCAACTTCCTCGACCTTGAACTGCTTATGCCCAAGTAAATGCAAAACGTTGAGCAATTTCACAAAAAAATTCTTCACTTGTATTTTCTCCTATACTAAGTTTAGTATTAGAATGGTACGAATAACTGAATTCTAAAAGAAATAGGTCCTTAGACCTACCTCTGGGGACACCTGCTCCAAGTTCTTGACATTAAGAGATAAATAGCTTATTGCATTAAATGCTTCAGAAAAAGTAGAAAAAATATTTTCAAGATATTTTAATTAATAATACCTCATACCTTATTGTGGACAAAGATGAGTTTTTTTTTTTTTCTGCAATAATGATTATTCTTCATATTTTATATTAAATTAATGCTAACTGTAACTATTGTAAGAAATTTTATTGTGTAATATAAACGTATTGTTTCTGATTTTGTAAAAAGCTTTCATCATACTCTAAAATAAGACGAAGGTTTGCTTTGGTCAGTGGTGGTTAACACCTAGTTCAAGAAATGGGTGGGAAAATTTTTGAATAAAATGGGAAAACAGTATATATATATATATATATATTTTTTTTCTTGATATAGAATGACAACAAAGAATAAACAATATTATATATTTCGCAAAATTATTATTTCAAATATGTTGAACTTATTACACAACTTGAATATTTCTAATTGTGTTTATCGTAAATGTTTGGGAAGTTAGTTGTGACTGAACTTGCTCACTTGCTTAACAGATCACTTCATGTCTCTTTTTTTTTTTTTTTTTTTCTCTTCTTTGCACAACCACAAAAAAAAAAAAAAAAAAAAATATATATATATATATATATATATATATTAGTTTTGATGAAATGACAAGTTATACTAATATTATTTTAAGTATGACTTTTATAAGAATAATTGTAGTAAAGCTAAAACAATAAAATCAGAGAAAATGGAAGATGCTATGCGTGGAGATTACATGAATACCCTTGTAAAAGAAGAAAAATAGAGGATGTAATTTCTCTAAAGTGAGTATTTTCACTTTTTGACTCAAAATTTATGTAAAGAATATTGAAAAATTGAATTTGAAGTTTTTAAATTTATTTTTCTATGTGAAGAATTATTTAAATACTATTTCAAAGCTTTTCCAAGTTGGAAAAATTTTTTAAATGAATTTATTTTGAAATATCTTTAAAATAAAATGATTAGGAATAAAATTAAGCTGGAAGGATTCGCGGAACAAAAATCTTTTGTTTTGTAAAAAGGAATAACAGAATGTTTTCTTTGTAAGAGAATGAAAAATGTGGTCTTATTGGTGCGTATGACAGATTTAAAAATGTAATTTTGGCATTTTTTCTGTGAAATAATTATTAGATTTTGCTTTGGAACTTTAAAAGGATATATCTAATTCATTTACAACAATTTAGAAGACAAAATGCTTTAATCTTTTTTTTTTTTTAATTTTTCATATTGAAATTTTACTCTTTAAGAGGGTAATTTTTTTTTTTTTGAAAACTATTGAACTTTCTTCTAAACTCTGATTTTTTTTGTTAATATCTTTATTTTTCATCTTTTAATATTTTTTTAAGGCTTTTGATTACTTTTTTGAAAAATCACTTTCCTTCTTTTTGTGCTTCAACTTGAATCATTTACACTTTGTAAGTGTACATTTGAG